AAAAAAAAAAAAAAAAAAGAAAGTTTTAAAGGAGAGGTCAGGCCCGGCACAGTGGCTCACACCTGTAATCCCAGCACTTTGGGATGCCAATGCAGGAGTCACTGCTTGGACCCAGGAGTTTGAGACCAGCCTAAACAACAAAGCAAGGCCTTGACTCTACAATTTTTTGCCCCATTCATCAGGCATGGTGGCGTGTGCCTATAGTTTCAGCTACTCCAGGGGCCAAGGCAGGAGGATCGCTTGAGTCCAGTAATCCCAGACAAGCCTGGGCAACATATTAGGTTGGTACAAAAGCAATTGTGATTTCTGCCATTACTTTTAATAGCAAAAACTGCTCTTGTTTCTACAAATTTTTCTTTCTTTTTTTTTTTAGGGGGTGGCAGAGTCCTGCTCTGTTGCCCAGCATGGAGTGCAGTCGCGCAATCTCAGCTCACTGCAGCCTCTGCCTCCTGGGTTCAAGTGATTCTCCTGCCTCAGCCTCCTGAGTAGCTGGGACTACAGGCACACGCCACCATGCCCAGCTAATTTTTGTATTTTTAGTAGAGACGGAGTTTCACCATGTTGGCCAGAATAGTCTCCGTCTCCTGACCTCATGATCCACCCACCTCAGCCTCCCAAAGTGCTGGGATTACAGGCGTGAGCCACCATGCCCAGCCTATAAAAAAAATTTTTTTTTTAATTAGCCAGGAGTGGTGGCATGCACCTGCAGTCCCAGCTACTCTGGGGGCTGAGGCAGGAGGATCACTTGAGCATGGGAGGCTGAGGCTGCAGTGGTGATCACACACTGCATTCCAGCCTGGGCAACAGAGCAATATCCTGTCTCAAAAAAAAAAAAAAAATGCTTATCATGTCTGAACCCTCCACACACCCCAGGTGCTGGATCCTGCCCTGTTGCAGAACTCACAAAACAAGAGAGTCTACAGAGCAGCCTCACCTCCAGTCGCGCCGACATCCTCCTCAAACATCCTCTCTATCTTGGCCAGGTGTGCCTCAGTAAACAGTTGGGACCCATGCTGAAGGTCCAGCACCTGGCTAAGGGTGACGGATGGTGTCGGGGAGCTAACAGCCTCCTTGTTCTGGAAGCCATGTGGGATGGACAGCTGGAAAGAATATAACAAGAACCAGGCCTGAGCGTTTTGATTTCCTGAGCCATTACTCAGCACATGATTTAAAGAGACTCTTTGAGAAAGAATGAGGTAAGTAGCGTTATAATGTTACCAACAGACAGAAACATACAATTCTTAACCATTTTTAGACCTAAGAAGATGAAGAAAAGTCTAAACTCCCCTGACTTTGGAGAGTGAACCATTGTTCCCTTTTATAGACACCACAACTGAGGCCCAGGGTTGCTCAGGGAGGACACAGCCAAGCTCTACCTTACTCATAATGGGGTGTTCATTTATAAGGAACGTCAGTTCAGTAACTATATCATTTCAAATCTTCAGTGGTCAGAATTCAAGACCCTAGGGGGCTAGGCAAGGTGGCTCACACCTATAATCCCAGCACTTTGGGAGGCCGAGGAAGGTAGATCATTTGATGTCAGGAGTTCTAGACCAGCCTGACCAACATGGTGGAAACCCATCTCTACTAAAAATACAAAAACATTAGCTGGGCATGATGGCAGGTGCCTATAATCTCAGCTACTCAGGAGGCTGAGGCAGGAGAATGGCTTGAACTCAGGAGGTGGAGGTTGCGGTGAACCGAAATCATGCCATTGCAGTCCAGCCTGGGTGACAGAGCAAGACTCCTTCTCAAAAACACAGACCCCAGGGAATCCAGCTCCATCTTCCCTAATTTGATCTTGTCCTGACCAGCCCAGATGTCCCATCTGAGTCAGATCAGCTCACCTGCCCCAGGCCTGACCTCTGCCAACACACCAATGCTCATGTAGACCCGCCACTAGGGGTTCTCCCTCACCTCCTCCTTCTACTCATCCTTCCCAGATCCCCCCAAAAGCCTTCCCCACCCCTCCAGGCCTCACGATGCTTCCTCTCCTCGCCCCTCCGTGGGGACTCATATGGACACTAAGCATAATGTTTCAGGTCACCAAAGCTCACGCCATCAAAGGCTGCCTCCCCTAAAAGATTCCAAACGTGGACAACTAGATGACCTGAGTGGCAGGCAGGCAGTGCTGCTCACTGCTTTGGGCCTTGGGAAGATGGGGAGACTTTAGTTCAAAAAGTCAAAGGACTGGCCGGGCGCGGTGGCTTAAGCCTGTAATCCCAGCACTTTGGGAGGCCAAGGCAGGTGGATCACGAGGTCAAGAGATCAAGAACATCCTGGTCAACATGGTGAAACCCCGTCTCTACTAAAAATACAAAACATTAGCTGGGCATGGTGGCGCGTGCCTGTAATCCCAGCTACTCAGGAGGCTGAGGCAGGAGAATTGCCTGAACCCGGGAGGCGGAGGTTGCGGTGAGCCGAGATCGCGCCATTGCACTCCAGCCTGGGTAACAAGAGTGAAACTCCGTCTCAAAAAAAAAAAAAAGTCAAAGGACAAGGGATTGAATTGCTCACTCTCCCCACCTTAGCCCCAACTAAAAAGCAAACGTGCTCATCCTCCTGTGACCTTTCATTCATTCGCCCATGGTCTACACACACTGACTGAGTGCCAGGCACTGTGGATACAGCACTGTGGATGCAGCACTGTGGATGCAGCACTGTGGATGGCCTGTGAACAGAGTGAGAGTCCCTGCCTCCATGAAGCCCAACAGAGGAGCATGTGAAGGCTCTTCCCACCCACCCAGTCCCCAAATTAGGAATCTCAGCACCACCTTCAGCTCTTCCCTCTTCCTCCTATGCATTCTACCATCCCTCTTGTTAATTCTTCCTGAATCCATCCCCTACATACAAGCTCCCCTCTCCTATACCCCTGCTCAGCCCGAACTCTAGTCTTTTGCTGGGACAAGCACAATGACCATCCCTAACTGAGACCAAAGTTTGGCCTTCTCTTCCCATCCACCTCCCAACTCTGGCACCAGTCATCTTTCTAGGCAGCAAATCTTTTTTATTTTTTTTTTTGAGACAGAGTCTCACTCTGTCACCCAGCTGGAGTGCAGTGGTGGGATCTTTACTCACTGCAACCTCCGCCTTCTGGGTTCAAGTGATTCTCATGTCTCAGCCTCTCAAGTAGCTAAGACTACAGGCATGAGCCACCACACCCGGCTAATTGTTTGTATTTTCAGTAGAGACAGGGTTTCACCATGTTGGTCAGGCTGGTTTGAACTCCTGACCTCAGGTGATCCTCCCACCTTGGCCTCCCAAAGTGGTGGGATTACAGGTGTGAGCCACCACACCTGGCTCCTAAGCCTCAAATCTGATCGATGACTTTACCCTGACTCTCACACTCTTCACCCCCAGCTCCTGAGTGCAGCATTCGAAGCACGTCCTAACCAGCTCTGACCTGTCTCGTTTCAAGCATGCACCACGTTCCAGACACACCTCCTGCCCCACCATCCCCAGGCCCAGCAAGGGTTCTGTGCTTACTCACATTGCAGCCCATCTCCCCAGAGGTGAGCCTACCCATTCTTCAGACTCTCGCTCAGATGGAACCTTCCCAAGGAGCTCTTCCATAACTTTCACATGACACTCATCACTGCCACCTCCATATTCCCGGGTCTTTGTTCATATCTGCCCCTCATGGCATAGTAAGTGTGTATGTCTGTCCACACATGCAGACAGCAAGGCATGAGGGGAAGCACATGGCTACAGAGCCCCAGAGCTCTGGGTTGGAATTCTGCCTGGCTCCCCCACTTACAGGCTATTTTATTTTATTTTCTAATGTATTTATTTATTTTTCTGAGACAGAGTCTTGCTCTGTCACCCAGGTTGGCGTGCAGTGGCTCAATCCTGGCTCACTGCAACCTCTGCCTCCCAGGCTCCTGCCTCAGCCTTCCAAGTAGCTGGGATTACAGGTGCCTGCTACCACCCCTGGCTAATTTTTGTATTTTTAGTAGAGATGGAATTTCACCATGTTGGCCAGGGTGGTCTCGAACTCCTGACCTTGTGATCCACCTGCCTCAGCCTCCCAAAGTGCTGGGATTACAGGCATGAGCCACTGCGCCCAGCCCAGGCTATTTTAACTTAGACATATCACATCACTTCTCTGAACCACATGTTTCTTCATCTGCAAGACAGAGAGCCACAATCCCTACCTGCAGGGTTGTGGTTGAGACCTAATGACACCTGAATACATGTGAAGCCCCAGCAAACTGTAATTACACAATAAATGATAGCTCTTGTTACTACTCCTCGTCTCATAGTGAGCTCTTCAAAGGCGAGGGCATATTTAATTAATCCTTACTTAATCCAATTTGTATTGATTATCTCTAGATTCCCCAGCCCCAAGCACATAACAGACAATGTGCTTGATAAAAACTCCTATAGCCTGGCCAGGCGCTGTGGCTCACATCTGTAATCCCAACACTTTGGGAGACTAAGTTAGATAGATCACAAGGTCAGGCGTTCAAGACCAGCCTGGCCAACATGGTGAAACCCCGTCTCTACTAAAAATACAAAATACAAAAATTAGCCAGGTGTGGTGGTACACACCTGTAATCCTAGCTACTCAGGAGAATTGCTTGAACCTGGAGGGTGGAGGTTGCAGTGAGCCAAGATCACGCCACTGCACTCCAGCCTGGGCAACAAAACAAGACTCCTCTGTCTGAAAAAAAAAAAAAGTGGCCGGGCACAGTGGCTCACACCTGTAATCCTAGCACTTTGGAAGGCCAAGGTGGGCAGATCACCTGAGGTCATGAGTTCAAAACCAGCCTGACCAATATGGAGAAACCCCATCTCTACTAAAAAATACAAAATAAGCCAGGCATGGTGGCACATGCCTGTAATATCAGCTACTCAGGAGGCTGAAGCAGGAGAATCCTTTGAACCTGGGAAGCAGAGGTTTTGGTGAGCCAAAATCATGCCACTGCACTCCAACCTGGGGAGCAAGAGCAAAACTCAGTCTCAAAAAAAAGAAAAAAAGTACACTTAAGTTACTTGTGGCCAGGCGCAGAGGCTCACACCTGTAATCCCAGCACTTTGGGAGGCCAAGACAGGTGGATCACCTGAAGTTGGGAGTTCAAGATCAGCCTGACATGGAGAAATCCCATCTCTTCTAAAAATACAAAATTAGCCAGGCATGGTGATGTATGCCTGTAATCCCAGCTACTAGGCAGGCTGAGGCAGGGGAATCAATTGAATCCAGGAGGCGGAGGTTGTAGCGAGCTGAAATCACGCCATTGCATTCCAGCCTGGGCAACAAAAGCAAAACTCCATCTTGGGGGGAAAAAAAAAAGTTACTTGCCCAGTAAAATCTCAGTATGCAACCCCTGATGCAGAAACCACTGTACTTCCATGCTGGTAAGTGATGTTTTGGGTGACTCTGGAATGCCCCACCCTTTATTAGCTCAAATAATTGTCTTACCTTTTGGAGTTGAGGGATCTCTGCTAAGTCTTCAGAAGACATTAGCCTTGACCTAGAATAAAGAATCATAGTCAACTTAACTACTTCATAGTAAGGACCATGTGGAAGGCTGACCTAACCAGGTCACAGAAAGATAGAAAAGAAGTCAAGGTCAAGGGAGAGGGTGGCTGCCCCTTGCCCATGGACACTCCCAGCAAGCATTTGATGAGCATCCCTTTTCCCGGAGATTTCTCCAGCAAAAAGCTTTTGCCAGGCTTGCACCTGAGCCTTTCTTCCCCTGATAGAGAGGAGTTATCCTGCAGAAGCCATGGGGTTTCACAAGTCTCTTTACTCCTGACTTAATGCCAGAGGCTTTCTAATGGGGATCACACTTTCTACAGAAGTAGAAGGGTCTTAGGAGGCCATGTGATGGTCCAAGTACAATAAATAGGTTAGAAAAATGAGGGCCCCCGACTTTCTGCTGCATACACTCTCCCCACCCGCTTTCCAGTGCCCTTGCAAGTCAGGATTTCGGGAGAGCAGACAGAACAGAGCTCTGCTCTGGGAACACAAAGGGAATGTTTCTATTGGGTCACCAAGGTCTCCATATGAGAAGGATGACAGTGTTTTGTTAGGGTAATTGGAGAGCCAATCCATCTCATCAGCAAGTCCCACTAGGCAAGAGTCCAGAGGGCACTCTAGGATGGCAGGGGACAGCCAAGAAATAGTTAAGCCCAAGACAGGCACAGGGGATGGACCAAGTGAGCCAGCTTGGTTTGACTTGAAGAGTCCTGGGGGCAGAGAGGTGGGAGGAATCATGGGAGAGAAGAAAAAAAAATTGGTAGCAGAAAGTAGAATCTTGAATACCTGACCAGGCAGTCTGAACAAAATGAAGGGCAATTATAAAAATTCATGAGCAGTCAGGCACAGTGGCTCACATCTGTAATCCCAGCACTTTGGGATACCAAGGCAGGTGGATCACCTGAGGTCAGGAGTTCAAGACCAGCCTGGCCAACATGGTGAAACTGTCTAATAAAAATACAAAAAAATTAGCCGGGCTTGGTGGCAGGCTCCTGTAATCCCAGTTACTCAGGAGGCTGAGGCAGGAGGATTGCTTGAACCTGGGAGGCGGAAGTTGCAGTGAGCAGATATCACGCCATTACACTCCAATCTGGATGACTCCAATCTCTCAAAAAAATAAAAATAAAATTCATCAGCACAAGCTGGAGGGAGAAGACTAAATGCTAGTCAAGAGTGCCCTAACCTAGCAGCCTCTTGGTAACAGCTCACACCTAAGCACCAAAGGAGAGAGGATAGCCTAAGGAAAGGAGATTTGGAAGCCAAGAACCAAGCTAACAGAAATGCCAGAACCATTTCCAGAAAAAGGAGCAAAGAGGGAAAGTGGTTTAATGCATGTGATACTGGGGTATCCAATCAGAAATTAAAAAACAGACCGAGGCAGGAGGATCACTTGCATCCAGCAGTGTGAGACCAGCCTCGGCAACACTGAGAGACATCTCTACAAAAAATCCAAAATTAACCAGGTGTGGTGGCACACACCTGTAGTCCCAGCTACTCGGGAGGCTGAGGTGGGAGAAGTGCTTGAGCCCAGGAGATTGAGACTGCAGAGAGCTGAGGTCGTACCACTGCACTCCAGCCTGGATAACAGAGTGTCTCAGAAAAAAAAAAAAAAAAAAAAAAAAAAAAAAAAAAAAAAAAAAAAAAAAAAAAAAAAAAAAAAAAAAAAAAAAAAAAAAGAAAGAAAGGAAAGGAAAGAAATAAAAAAACAAATACCTGGGGCCAGGTGTGGTGGCTCACACCTATAATCACAGCACTTTGGGAGGCTGAGATGGGTGGATCACCTTAGGTCAGGAGTTCGAGACCAGCCTGGCCAACATGGTGAAACCCACCCAGTCTCTACTAAAAATACAAAAATTAGCCAGGCGCGGTGGCACCTATAATCCCAGCTACTGAGGAGACTGAGGCAGCAGAATCACTTGAACCCAGGAGGCAGAGGTTGCAGTGAGCTGAGATCATGCCACTGCACTTCAGCCTGGGCAACAAGAGCAAAACCCTGTCTCAAAAAAACAAAAACACACACACAAAAAAACAAATACCTGGAAATCTGAGGACTGACACTTGAGGAGTGGCTACATTTAGGGGATAGAAGGAACGAAAAACACACAAGACAGCTAGGAAGATGGGATGCTACAAAGTAAGCCAAGGTGATAAGGGAAAGAAACGGCCACTGAAAGAGGCAATTAAGAGGTTACCAGTTTAAAAAGCTGCAGAAGCTCTATATAAAATGTTAAGTCCAGAAATGGACTTAGCATACATACATACATACATACAAAGAAGCCTGGAAACATATACTCCAAAATTCATGGCAGTTATCTCTGGAAGGTGAGATTATGGAAGATTTTTTTTCTAGACAGACTTTTGCTCTTGTTGCCCAGATTGGAGTGCAATGATGTGATCTTGGCTCACCACTATCTCTACCTCCCGGGTTCAAGTGATCTCCTGCCTCAGCCTCGTTTGTGAACTGCAGGGTTGGTTTTTTGTTTTTTTTTTTTTTTGAGACAGAGTCTCATTCTGTCACCCAGCTGGAGTGCAGTGGCATGATCTCAGCTCACTGCAACCTCTGCCTCCTGGGTTCAAGCCATTCTCGTGTCTCAGCCTCCCAAGTAGCTGAGATTACAGGCATGTGCCACCACACGTGGCTAATTTTGTACGTTTAGTAGAGAACAGGGTTTCTTCTCCGTGTTGGTCAGGCTGGCCTCCAGCTCCTGACCTCAGGTGATCTGCCTGCCTCAGCCTCCTAAACTGCTGGGATTACAGGCGTGAGTCACTGCACCCGGCCCAGAAGATTTTTATAGTCTAAATCATGCCAATTTTCTGATTTGTATTTTAATTCAAAAAGGGTTCATGGCAATCTTCTGACATGGGGTCTTGTTGTGTTGTTCAGGCTGGTCTTGAACTCCTGGACTCAGGTGATCCTCACACTTCAGCCTCCCAAGTAGCTGGGACAACAGGTGCATGACACCACACCAGGCTCATGGCAATCTTTACAATGTGTTTTAGTGGAGTGGGTAGGAAGGTGGTAATTTAAATGACTCCTTTGTGAAAGGCCACTGTTGACGAGTAATTGCTGCAGCATCATTCATAGGAGCAAAAACTAAAGTGAACCATTCTAGGTCAAGAAATGGTGAATAAATAAATGGTACAGTACACCTGTACCTGGGACATCACCCAAACATGCAGAAAGATGAATCTGACTTTCAGAAGCTAAGACAGATTTCCATGAAGTATTAATTAGAAAAGCAAATTGCAGGCTAGGCACAGTGGCTCACACCTGTAATCCCAACACTTTGGGAGGCCAAGGTGGGAAGATCACTTGAGCATCAACCAGGAGTTTGAGACCAGCCTGGGCAACATGGTGAAACCCCATCTGTACAAAACATAAAAAATTAGCGGGGTGTGGTGGCACTCACCTATAATCCCAGCTACTCAAGAAGGTGAGGTGGAAGAATCGCCTGCATCCAGGAGTTGGAGGCTGCAGTGAGCTATAATCACACCACACCACCACACTCTGGCGCCTGGGTGACAGAATGAGACCTTGTCTCAAAAAAAAAAAAAAAAAAAACCCAAGACACAGAAAAGGGTGCACAGTATGATCCAATTTTTGTAAAAGAATGAAAAATAGGCTGGGCACAGTGGCTCACACCTGAAATCCCAGCTACTCAGGAGGCTAAGGCACAAGAATCCCTTGAACCCAGGAAGTGGAGGCTGCAGTGAACCAACATCATGCCATTGCACTCTAGCCTAGCCAACAGAGTGAGACTCCATCTCAAAAAATAAAAAAAGTTACCACCATCAGCCGAGCAAAATGACATCCATCACGCACCTCCTGATCCAATGTCACCATGCCCAGCTAACTTTTGTATTTTTAGTAGACTCGGGGTTTCACCAGGTTGACCAGGCTGGTCTCAAACTCCTGGCCTCAAGCAATTCCTGCCCACCTTGGCTTCCCAAAGTGCTGAGATTACAGGCATGAGTCACCGTACCTGGCCAAAATAAAATGCCATGTAAATCAAAGAAAGGCTAAGGAACGGTTAGAGAACTGTTCCTTAGCTAAGGAACTCTTGATGTGGCTCAAGAGACCCAACAACCAAAGGCAATGCATGATTCTGAATTGAATCCCAGATTGGGACAAAACAAATATGCTGCAAGGGCTGCTATTCAGTGAAATTATGTAAAATTTGGACATGGACTGTACGTTATTAGACATTATATTAATGTTTTCTGCTTTGATAACTGTATTGTTATCTTTTGGAGGGCAACTTTTACCCAAAACCCTCACTTACCCTGACTCAATTTGATCTCCCCAGTTATCTTGCTGGCAAAGTGCTATCACTTTCCAACTTCCATCTCAACAAAGACATCGGCAGCTGTTCCCAGTCCAAGACAGCTCCTTTATGAAGTCAAGGTGGAACTCTGGGTCTGCTGGTCACATTTAGAACCAGGGAAATGAGACAGAATTCCATTTGAAGAACAAACATGAAACATCAGAACCCATCCCACAAACCATAAGCACGCAACCACTCTTCATCCAATGTGAAACATTTCTTTTATTGAAGAAGTTGAACTTACACAGCAGACAGGGAAAGGAGCTACAAGCACAAACAGCCAGGACAAGCACAGATACAAAATCATACAGAAGACAAGGAGAAGGAAACAGGAAGACACCAGGGAGTCCTCTTATAAAAAGCAGGCTTCACCAAAACCAAAAGGCCAGCTGGCTCCAGGACAGCGAAAGCACAGTGGCTCTTCTGCCCTCTGCACAAGCTCCAATTCTTTGAAAATAGGAAGGATACAAGAGATGTGAGATGGGAGACTTAAAAATCCAGACTTCAGGGCAGGCCTAGACTTGATGCAGCCACTGCAATCTTGGTCCGTGGCACAATTTGGCAGACAAGTTGGTGAAAGGCAAGTGTATGGAGATTTCAATCAAGAACGTGGATTCCAGATTTTTTTTTTTTTTAAATGAGATGGAGTTTTGTTCTGTCGCCCAGGCTGGAGTACAGTGGTGTGATCTCAGCTCATTACAACCTCTGCCTCCTGGGTTCAAGCGATTCTCCTGCCTCAGTCTCCCAAGTAGCTGGGATTACATACAGGTACCCACCACATCCA